AAGAATAAACTAGTTCGCGATGATTAATTTTCGCGACCAAACCTTTTTGGATCTGTTGTTAAAAGACGTACGCTTTAAGGATCGGTTCGTGGCGAGAAATATTTGCGATGACAAGGGTCTCGCGAAATTCGCGAAAATTTCTCATACACGAATAAAGGTTGGTTTACAGTATAAGTCTAGAATTCCTTTACATTTTGAAGCACTTGCTTTGCACACAAATTCTGTGCTATAACTCTTTAAATAAATGTATTTTTAAATAGAACCAGATTTTCTATCAATTAACCCTGACTATGCATTACCACCAGAAGTCCCATTGTTGATGGCAGGAGGAGTTAAGGGTATGTATTATTTTTTGTCCTTCATTACAAGTACTTTACTTTTAAGTAAAAATTCAAGTCAGATAAGTAGAAGTACACTGACTTTCAATTTTCTTGGTAATTTCTTGAGAGAAAAGTAACAAATCTGATGTATAAGGAATTTCTTTGTTCCAAACACAAATTCAGTTGTGAATATGTTCCCATAAGAGTATCAGGAATTTTTTTTGATTACAAAGTAAAACACAAGGTCTTAAAAACTTCGTTTCAACTTTCTTTTTGCGTAGATCGAATCCTTCTGTTTACGTTGTAAAATAAAAATAAAGATTGACCTGCATGTGTATTTTCACCATGGTAAAATTGTATGAAGTACATGAACATTCCTACTGATAATTATTATAAAATCAGGTACTTCACTCATATTGAGATGCCACTACTTGCCTCCATGGCACCTGATCCCACCAGCTCTGATGTTTTGTAGGTCCGTGTTTGCTCTGCTCCTATTTTATTTTGTTTTATGGACTGTTCATTATCTCCATATCCTTCATCAATAACAACATGGAAATATGTTTTTTTGTTATATTAGACTTCGTAAATGAATCCTTAGAAAGGCATGGTGACATATCTGGTCAAGTTTAGTCTAAATATTAGAAAACAGACATTTTCATTATATATATAATCACATAAATTTTCATAAATTTAATTGAAAAAAAAACTTGGCAAACACAATCATTTGAATTGAAAAAGAACCTACAGTGCTCTCATATGATAATAATGGATAACTTTAGCTATATAGTTGTAATACAATCTTTTTCTACTAGCTTGCTCAGTTTGAGACAAATATTAATTGTTCTGATCTAGAATCTGAAGAAGAAGCAGAACTTGAAGACCTTTGTTTTGAATTTTTTGGTGATGAGGGGCCAAGTACGTAATCTATCTATTGCATTCTCTTCTAAGTTTTTAAAGTTAAGATTTAGTTTGAAATACCCAAAAATTGAATTTCTTGTGATTAACTGTTTCTTTTTCTCCCTAGTTGATTTGTCAAAGAAAGAACCACCAGCTAAAGAAGTAAGTACTTGGTTTATTATGTTTTAATGAAACAAAATATACCAGAAGGAAAACAGATTTAGTGTGTGTTCTGATTAATTAATGTCTTTTTGAAATGCAGCTACATGTACTACTGTATTAACAGCATCACTGGTTTGATTTTTTTTTTGCATATATATATTCATGTGTACATATAAGCTATTTTCAAATTTACTTTACCGGGTATATAATTTTCACTTAATGTTACATACATTTAATATATTAAATTTCATATGATCTTTATATGAATTATTTCTAAATTATACATCGAAGAGCAATTTTTGAACATTTCCGCAGATAATAAGAATTTAACAATTAGCATAAGATATGAATGCATCATTAGGAACTGAAAAAGAAAAATTATCTCTTATTTTAAGTTTGAAAATAAAAGTCATCTGGTTAGGATACCTTTCTCTAAATGTAAAAAAATGAATTGGTAATTAAAAAAAAAGGTACATGTAACTTTTGAGTAAGCTGTTTTGATGATGCAATTGAGTGGTTTTTTCTCTTGCACGATATTAATTCATATAGTGTAATATGCATTTTATTGAATATATTGTATCTGAGTCAAAAGACCTGAATATCTTTCCCAAGGTACTTGAAGCAGCTAGATGTGTTTTAATGCCAAAAACTAACGGCTAAGGGCAAAAAAACACATCAATCTGTTCTCAGCTCATGTTCATATTGGTGGTAATAGTCCACCATCACCTGCCTCAGGTGCTTATGTTTAGTTTATCAGTTTTAAGTAAAATCATTTGTTAAAGCAATGAAGACTGTTCCCTGTAAGTTGACATTACGGGGATTTCTATAGTCTTGTTCAAAGTCAGAATTTTTCAAAGTTCATGGTCGTTTTAATGACCTTGTAAGCAAATATGATTTTAATATTTGATCTTAATTTGGCTACCCGTACATGAATCATGTTTCATACTTATTGTTCAGACTTTGTTTTTATATTGAATTTGACTACAGAAACCTCTGTCTACCCGATCATGACGAGCACACAGCAGGTGTGACTGGTCAACAGGGGAAGCTTACTCCTCCATGGCATCTGTTTTTTATGCCCTCTTCACATATTTATATATTATTTTTTAAAATTGATTGCTGTAACAGTTGTACTACGTTTACAGCAACCTTCCCCAAATCACCAGGGTCTTGTTCATCAGAATGAATTGTTATTGAAATATTCTCGTGTTTTGTGGATCAATGTTCATTTTATACATTACCTATTTTGGAAGCATGGCCTGAATCAAAGCTTTTTTTTTATTAGAGATAATTTGTTTTAAAAATTAGATTACTAGTATAGCATTCTTGTTCCTGGACATTTTTTATGCTTGAATACATAGAAAATATTTTCTTGAGTTTTCACAAAGAGTATAAGAACATTCAAGGGCTTTGTATTTAAGATCAAAGACTCTAAAGACTCTGGTGAACAATTACATGACCGGCAAAGTAGACAGCTCAGAGACCTAACTGCACTGAATGGATCTCTAATGTTTAAAAACACTGATGTTACGTAAGTAGAAAATGGGAAAATTTAATAAACTAAGATAAGGAGAATTAAATGAAGACTTTTCATTGAAAAGAAGACAAATAAATATTTGACAGACACAAAACATAATTATAACATAACATATAAATACCTTGTTTTATACCAAAGGGCAAAAAATCTAAATAAAGTGTAAAAAAAAATATTGTTTTGGCTAGTTAAAAAGACTTATAGATTCAATGCATATTCAGATGAACACAGAACCTGAAACGTGCTAAACTAATCCCGTGAAAAAATTTATGCTGTTCCACTTCGTGCAGACCATAGCTGCATCATTTCAAATAAATGATATGAATATTTGAATAAACCAAGCAGCTTTTCATGCTTTAAAGCATTTTGTGCTAAGCGTGAAGCATGCATTAAGCAAGTATTACATTGTAATTGTGAGAATATTGTTCGGATTGGAATGTTGAATTTTCAACGTTTTATACGTCAACCAGTGTTATACTTATGAGTACTTGGAAGTTGATATCATAAACTTTTGAGATATGCCAAACTTATTTATCAGCAAAACAACTATTTCAAGCCAAAAAATTTATGTCAACTGCACTGTATCTTACAGCTTGTTTTGGGGGTTATAGTTGCATTTTTCACGTCTCTAAGATTTGAAATCTCGGAATGACAAGAAAATTTGATATTTTAGACGTGATCCCTCTTTCTCTAAGAAGGCTGCAATGGATGATGAGGTAATACTATAATATATATTATTGTAATTTCTCTATGTTGAATAGGCCTTGGTGTTATGATATATTCAATTGACGAGGTTATTGATAAGAACTATTAGAATATCCAGGCAGTGTGTGCTGATAAAGTAAGGTGGAGATTTGGTGTCAATTCAAATAAGTGTAGAGAAATGCCTGACTCATTGTATTGGTTGGTTTGAAAGAACCATTTTTGCCCCTGTTGTTTTTTTTTTTTTAGTTAATTTGTTGTCTGTTTGTTTGTTTTTTTTGTAATCAAAATATGAATGCAGATAATTTCCAAATACTTGTATAGTTTACTGAAAGGGAGCATGCATTCCTAATTATAGAGAAAAATTTGTTTTGTTTGGACAATCATGTTTCTTGTTGGGACCAATCTTCATTGTATCAGTAGCAATAGTACCTGGACTAGTATAAACTGTAAACAGTGTCTATAACTAGTGAAATCACGCCACATGTTGAAAGTGTTTGTGCTTTCAAATTACTTTAAGAAACAGACAATATATATTGAGCTCATAATACATGAAGTGCAAAAATAAATTATACTGCAAGCTTGCAATCCCATTTGCAATCATCATGATTATATATTCTCTCTCTCTCTCTCTCTCTCTCTCTCTCTCTCTCTCTCTCTCTTTCTCACATATGAACTGCAAGCAGAGAAATGGGGTTACATGGGGACAAATATGGTATTTACACAGGAAGAAACAACACCTTTCAGTTTAAATTGAAAGGCTGCTTTCAGTGACTTTTCAGTGGCCATTCAGCCACTGAATAGCACATACATTTCAGTGACCTTTAAGTTGCCTTTCAGTCACATTTCAGATACCTTTCAGTCACCATTCAGCGGACACATTTCCGTCATCTTTCAGTGACCTTTCCGTCAACTTTTAGTGATCTTTACGTCGACTTTCAGTGACCTTTCCGTCGACTTTCAGTGACCTTTCCATCGTCTTTCAGTGACCATTCCACACTCTTTCATTCTTTCAGTGATATTCTAGTCTCAATGTAGCGATTATTTTCACTAGCTTATTGATTTATTATAAGATATTTTTCCTTAACAGTGAAGCGATATTTTGAATAAAGATTTATTATTCAATCTTAATCGTGTGATTTTTAATGGTTATTAAATTCTGGTACGTTAAAAAATGTGTCTAAATAATTATTACAATTTAATAAAATAAATGATACTAATTCAAAATGATTTATGATTTTCTAATTTGTTGTAGAAAACAAAAAGTTTTGAAGTGATAAATAAAATGCTGTTCCGATAATTGAATCAAAATTTAAATAAATGCCGTATGACACATTCCTTAGTGCTTATAGGTGTATTTTTCATGGAAATAAGTAGATTTGAATTTATACTATTTACACCTTTTATAAATTTTGTTTCTTAATTGTCAAAACCGCCAGGATATGTTAGATTTCGTAAGACATCCTTTTAAAATCATTTTACATGGATAGAAAAAAAATCATTTATACATGCCTTTTGTAAAAAAAAAAATAAATATTGTAGATTTATACTTTTTAAAATAAATGATATTGTTGGAAAATTATTCTACTAAGTTTCTAGATAGAGAATTTACATCGATTTCCAATCTCTGTCACAGGAACAGGTGCCCGTCGCGGATAATTGTCATAATCCCGATAGGAGTTGTGTAATTAATCAGTCTGTCCCCAAAATCCGAGCAACTTACATAGAATATACAAAAGATATACAAGAAATATACAGTATTACACATCGCAGCTCCTCGATACACCAGGTGAACCGATTGTTTGATCGATTTCTACAATTTAATTGATTTTAAATCCTTAGTAAACAATAAGAAGTAGTAGCGTAATTAATAAGGTCATGGACACTTACGCAGGAGACCATGGTTCAATTCCAGCCATGTCCACAATTTTTGTTTTATTATTCTTTTTAACAACTATTTTTTAAATTCGGAATTAGATAAATTTAATGCTATCATACCAGGAAATAGTGAAATAAATTTTTTAAGTTAAAAAATAAGGCGATTATTCAATAAAAAGATGCAACTGAATGATAACTGAAAGGTCACTAAAATGTATGTGCCATTCAGTCGACTGAATGGTAACTGAATGCTCACGGAAAGGTCACGGGAAAGGGTCTTTTCAGTGACCTTTCAGTGACCATTCAGTTACCATTCAGTCAACTGAATGGTGGATTTTCATTCTGTGTTAATTTATTATATATTAATTGTATGAGAAATGATGAAGTGAAATTCTTTTCAAGAGTGGCTGCGCCACGAAAAATATTTACGTAGAAATATTATCAAGCTGTTTATAAGTTTTTAGAATAATGAAACTCAAAGTTGGTACGTGTAGGGCAGGGTATATGCTTGGGATTAAACAAATATATATATATAGAGCAAAACCTCTCCAGAACAGCTTATTGGTCATTATGATATTGAAGAATTCCGATTTCTATGTGACTGCATAATACGATGTAACCCTGCAAGACTAGTGTAGACCACAGGTTGTGTCAATACATGTAAAAGAGAGGGTTATTCCTTAAATTTATTGAAAATTTTTGTAAATCAACAGCTAGGACCAAGGTGATTCAGTTGAGCTTTTTTACGCATGGAAGTCTTCACATTTTTTTTTTTCAGTACGGGTCTTTGATGGCTGAGCTAGGAGAGGACCAACTGAAGAGTCAGGTACAGCCTATCTTTAAGCATTATAAAGATTTCATTCTTAAACAAAAAATATTTTAAAATTCCTGCATGCTCCAAGGTTCAAGTGAGCTTTCTTGATTGAAAAGTGTCCCAAAAAGCTCTAAAAAGGAGCCTTTCCTTTCATGGGTAATATTGTGTGATTTTAAGAGCATGAAACAATGCATTTGCATGACTGTTATTTTTCCTGGAGTTAATGAATTTACACTATGCATGTATTAATGTGTTATGTAGAGAAAATATTGTGGTGATGAGCAGTTCACCTAAGTTTAGAGAATGTCATTTGGATTTGCTGCTGTGCTGAATAGCATATCTTTCATAATTTAACTTGTTTATTTTATAATTTGTATTTTATAATAATTGCAAAGAAATAACAGAAATATAAATAAAAAAAAAATTAATATAAACATGATCATGATGGTATTTTAACATTATTGTACTTTTTAAAATTTGGAGCTGTATCCAATATGATTTTTTTTTTCTCTTTTTAAAATCGCAAAAGAATTGTTGCCTAATGAAATTATCTATTAATTATAAATTTATTGATCTTATTTGAAAACAGAAGTTACAATTTCCAATTTGAATTTTAAGTGTTGTTTACACACATATCAAGAAAACTCTATCAATTCAGACTGATGTTAATGTTAATTAGAAATGTTAACGTTAACAGCTCATTTTTTGACATCAGATCATCAGTGAAAAGATTTGGTATACTCAGGTTTACAATTGTCATGATCACTTAAGTTAATATGCATAATAATTATGAGGACTATTTACATGGTAAACAATTATACCTAAGGGCAGGCTAAAGTTGAGACATCCAAAGTTATAAAATTGTTTCACTTCTTCATTAAAGAGTAGTTTTAAACATAAACAAACAATAATAAATGTTATATAAAATTTCAGTATAGAGAACCACCTCCAATACCACTTCGACGTAGACCACCTCCTGCACTTCCTCAGGGGGCTCCACCACACCGGGCTCCAGCAAGACCACCACGACCAGCACGTGGGGGTGAGGAAAGAGGAGGTGGGGGAGAAGATGGAGGGGACCTTATGATGTTCTCAGCAAAAGCCCTACCCCCGAGGAAAGCCAGATATCAGCAGCATGATAAGTCTTCCATAGGCGAAGATCTACTGATGATGGAGGTCTCTCCACAGCGAGGCAGTCTTCAGCGAGTAAGTTCTGCAGAGTAGTTAATATTTTTTACCATTTTTTTATTATTATTTCCATTTATTAATCATTTATTCTCCACAATATTTTCATCCTATTTTGTTATATGGGATGTGTTATGCATGACATTTATGTCTATCCATCTATCTAATTGTTAGCTATTTCATGTAGGGTTTATAACTTTAATACTTTCAGACCCACAATAAGCAAACATCAAAAGCTGATACTTTTTGGGTAGAAGCAGTGTCCCACATTAAAATATGTCGCTGTGACCTCTTATTCAGATGATGTAATGACCAAAAAAATATGACAAAATTGTGTCCAGATCTTAAAAGGATAACTATTAGACATAGAATTATCAAACTTAACAATTAATGATTCTTAGATACTAGTACACATAGAAGGTATTGCATCTTACCTATAGGTCATCACATAAATCTTTGATTAACATGACTAAGATGAAATTTTTACAGAACACTGTATTGCAGTCACCAGGTACCTTATCAGAAATATTATTTCAAGAAAATAAATGTTTTCTCAAAATATTTTTTACAGCAATCTGACTAATGTAGTGTTTCTTTTGAAAAAGTAAGAATAGGGTATTGTTACAGTACTCTTATTGATGCTCACTTTCATTGAGATTTGATTATCTGAAGTAAAAAAAACTTTGAATATGGTGGATCATCATTTAAAGTATTGTTAAAGAACAACAGATTTAGACAAAATTACTACTGTATAAGATTTTTTTTTTCAAAATATTCCACAAGAGAAGTATGGGCATAACATATTACATGTAATATGAGTAACATGAGTAAATTTTGGGGGGAAGTCTTCAAATGTTTTTAAAAAAATCAAAGTACTGAAAGTACTGAGAAGCGGTTAGCATGCATATATTTCAATGATGAAAATTACTTGGAGTCAAATTTTAGTGCAATATAAATTTGATAAATTCTTAGAAATTAATTCACAGTTTACACGACTAGTTTAATTTGCAGTTAATTCCTGAGAAGTAAACTAATGCAAATCAAACTTATACAAACTAGAACTGTCCAAACGGGACAAAATACCCCCTGCTGGATTTTTCAGAAGTAAGTTTTTTCCGTAATGAAGATATGTATCACACATGAATAAGAATTTAGTAAAGATATCTCAAACCCCCATGATAACAAATAATTACATGATCTGTGTATATCATTTTTCAAAGATGACTAAGCTTTATTATATATAAGATTACAAAACGGAGGTACTTACTTTAAATAATAAGCCTATTTTAATTCTCTGATAAAATGCTAATTAGCAAAAGACGAAACAATTCTTGCAAGGTTGGGAATTATATGTGAACTTTTCAGAGAGATGGAACCAATTAATTTGCAACAATCAGTGCAAAAAATAAACAAAATATAACATTGCAATCACTGATTTGATAAGAATTTGTTCAATTATATATGTTCAGTCCTACTAAGTTTACTTGCAATTGGATTTTCATGTAACTAATAGCTAAGGACAGCAAAAAAGAACTAATGTAGTTAAGACAATTGATAATTACACGATATTTCAGTTTAGAAATTGTACACAATTTTGTTCTAGGCTAATAAGCAAAAACGCGAAAGTTTTTGCGGGGTGGGGAATTAAATGTGAACTTTTCAGAGAGAAGGATCCAATTGAATTGCAACGATTAAGGAGGAACAGGACCTTTCGCTGAAAAAATTCCTGTCAGTGAATTTTTTTCGTATTTTTTAAATTACTAATTTAATATGTACTTAACATTTGAAAACGGTCATGTCATGGGATTTCTTGACTTATTTAAAAGATATCGCCCCACAAATACCACACTGTTTAGAGTTTGTATGGAGTTTAGATACTGCAAGTTTACGGGCCTATAACGGAGTCCATAATGCGAGTTATAGTTATATTCATAGTGTTTAAATTATTTGAAAGCAATTGTTTTAATTTTATGTAGCATTTGGGTGGGATAATTTCTGCATTTTTCAAGGCAGCTTCAATGACAAAAACGTCATTTGGAAAAAAATTCTGTCAATAAATATTTCTAAATTTACGATTGAATGCCAGTCCTTTGTCGTAATTTTTTATTGCATAAAAATCACAGGGTGAAGCTTACCTCAATATCGCACAGGACATCGTTGAATTAGACGCAGGGTGAATTCACCATGCATCAGACGCCATTGTAATTCAACAAGTTCTAGAGATATCGATACCGACGCAACATTATCAAAATGGAACTTAACATTTAGTCTGTGAATAAAATATAAATTTTGGGGACCTTTATTTGCTTTTTATTGAGAAAATATCAATAAAAACCTACTTTTAAAAAATGACTCGGAATTCACCATGGATCGGACATCATTTACCATGCATCGTACAAATCTTATTTGAACCGGAAAAATGTCGTACCTTGATCACAGTGCTTTATAATTATTGATATGAATATACTTGTATTTTTTATTTAAAAATTAAACTTCACTTACATTTAATTGACGATATCATTGTACAAATATGGAAAACTGCAATATGCCTTACTTTGCCTTAGAAAGGCTTTGAAATGCTTGTAATGCGGTAATTCGTGCTATTTCCTTACAAGTTAAAATACTCTGGTTTGTAGAAATGAATTAAATCAAATTCTAGACGTTATATATCACTAATGTGTATTTTAACTGAAAATTTAGAATTTTATTATCTATTTCCGCAAAAAACGGCTGTCAGTTGGGTTCTGTATGAAAATGGTGGTCATTACCTATGCATCGGAAAGTGTCCGATGCATAGTTAATTTGTGTCCGATGTACGGTGAAATGAGAATACTAGTAAAAACTAGCTCTAATTAGAATTAAACAAACATTACAATGAAATTTCTTTATAATTTATGCAAAATTACCAATAATTGACAAAATTCGCCAAAGTCCGACTCGTTCCGTCGAAGTCGAATTTAAAGAACGATAACTCTAAAAATTGCAAAATCATAAAATTTGGGGTTATGCCCCTTTGATGATGTAAAATATGACGTAACTTCAAGGCCATTCTCGGGGTATTTTTATCACAACATGATAATAACAATCGGCATTGTCAAAAAATTTAAATCTTCGACTTCAAGACAGAAACAAATAAATAAATGGAACTCATAAGTTGATAGAGAGTTTATTGCCTAAAGTTGTCCGAAGCAAGGTATGTGTCCGATGAATGGTTAACTCACCCTAAGCATGATAAAAACGCTTCACGTTCGTATTTTCCGAGTGCGGGAAATCAATTGTGACGTCACACGAAAACATAAGCATTCAAAATTATCGAAATAGAGAGGATCTCTGCTAATAAACACGAAAAATATTAATTCAAAAAAATCTGTTTCAGAAATTTATCACGATACATTGACTGTGACCTGTTTATTATGAAATAAAACTGATCATGACGGGTGTGTGTACTTGATCTCGCTGCACTGAGAATTCAAACACTACGTCTATGACGTCAGTGACGTCAGACTGCACGGTAAAGAGAAACAAAGGTGTGGCTAGGGCAACTTCACAACATCTAAATAATGGCAAGATCTATAAAACTTTTAATAATAATAATTGCTAAAATTAAATGTTTGAAAACAATTTTAGAATTTATAAGAAAATTACACAGGAACTGTTGATTTTAACAACGTTTAACATGTATATCATCACCGATTATGACGTAATATGTTTTTTTAATCATGTGACATGTGTCCTGTCTCCCCTTAATGCAAAAAAAAAATAATAAACAAAATATAACACTGCAATCACTAACTTGATAATAATTTGTTCAATTATATATGTTCAGTCCTACTAAGTCTATTTGCAATTGGATTATCATGTAGGCCTAACTAATAGCGAAGGACTAAAACAATAACTAAAGCAGCTGTAAAGTACGCAAAATGTACCTAAATAATATATAATTAGTTTTCAGCGTTGACAAGCAAGTGTATTATGATAAAGCAATGAACCGTAGTAGCAAGTATAAGCAAACAATATCACCTGAAGGTATCTTTCATTCTTTCGTACAAGTACGTCATCTATCCACGCTACATGTATCTTGTTAGTAAATAATGTATTATTACGCGTTCGCATCCGTTACGTTTATCATAGATGAACACAAAAACTGATCCAAAATCAAATATAAACTAAATTTTTTCTTGTTTTATTTTACAATACTTTCACAGTTTTTAACATAACTAATCATATATCTTTCGGTTTATGAACCATATTGTAGAACTATTTTTTCTCCTCTTCAATGCAAAGTTTGCCCCTGCATTTCTGCATGTAACCCCAGATAATTCAGCGTAGACTTTCGGGTATTTCCGCCAAAGATCGGAAAAGCTGCAATTTTTTTCTCATAGGTAGCGCCTTATGGAGGTTTCCGGTTGCCGACACATGCCATAAAGCGGCTAGCGAAGCTAACCGCTTAAAAAACATTATTTGATGAATACAATATTCACAGAGCAAGTTTGATCAAGATAAAAAAACATCAACAAAAGATTTTTTGCTGTGATATGACTATGAATAAATAAAATTGAAATTTCAGGAAAAATCTAAATCACCACCACCACCACCACCACCACCAGCGAGGGGAGGTATAGTGAGGAGCAGAGGAGGTAGGGGAGGGGGAGGAGATCGACCGTCTCTATTGCAGTCCATCACTAAAGGACAATCTTTAAAGAAAATCCCACCTCGGCCTGAAAAGCCCACTGTAGAAGGTCACAAGGATCTTTTGTCTTTCAGCGTCCTTCAAAGTAGAGCTTGTATTCAGACTGTAAGTATTTCAGTAGAAGGTTTTTTTATTTTCCATTAACAAATGTATATTTTAAGTGAATTAATGAACAAAAACATGAAAGATATTATTGTTGACTTATTGAATGACGTCATTGTCTGAGAAGAGATCAAACAAGAAATCATTACAGATATTTTCATCAAGAAGGATATGGAGATAACGAACAGCATTCAATCTCAATGTCCATTAAACAAAACAAAATAAGAGCAGAGCAAACACGGACCCCCGAAACAGAGGTGGGATCATCAAATCGCATACACTTAATATTCAGTCTCTCATCGTGTTAAATAACTATAGCTAGTGAAAAACCCTGGTTGGAACATCTTGTCCTATGACCATTTTGTTAATAGAAAACGTATTTGAAATGTGTTCAGCAATAATTCTATGTGCCCCTTTCAACAGATACTAGATTTACATGTAGGACAACTGAACAGCATAATTACTAGTATATAATTATATATATTTATTTAGTAATTCTTCATGTTGAAAATTCTTTCAAGTCATTTTTCTTACCAAAGATCACAAGATATATGGGTTTCTTTATTTCAACTCTTGGAACCTATGTATAGGACAATATATTTAATACCAGACCACAATACTTTATAATTTAAAATAAGAAATCTTAATATATTTGTAATTAATTGGATTGATACATTTATTAAAATGAAAGCCTGGTGAGTGATACTGAAAGCCCAATAATGCCATAACATGGTTTTTTTATAAATCACAATTTTCTTGGTTAGGAACCTTATTGTAATCATGATATGAGTATTACTAGCTAAGTTATTATAGGAATGAATTTAATGGCAACCCAAGTAAAACAGAGTGAATAATATAATAAACTGGTTTGTAAAAATCATAAACTGCTTCAACCCATGTCATATCAGTAAAACTTGGATAGCTTTTAAAATTCTTTCCTTTTATACATGGAATTTAATTTTCATTATATTTAATTAAAATAACAAGACAATTCCTTCTTTGAAAACGTCATCAAAATGTGAATATTACAAATTTTAAATGTAAGGTATAGTGTGTAGCGGATTCATACATTTTTGACGCAAGTCATTGTGACATAGGCCTTATACTAGGTTATACAATATAGATTAATTAGAGCCCCGCAAGGATTTGCGGATGCCCTATAGTAATCACTCTGTCTGTCCGTCTGTCTGTCTTCCGTCCACAAATTTTCTGTTTTTTTTCTAATAACTTTTTTATGGTTGCCCAATCAAGTTCAAATTTGGTATGGTAGTTCAGTAGGCAGAAATACATATTTTGATGCTAAGTTTGGTTCTCAATGTCTTCTGGTTTGGAGCTGGGGTGGTGGGGTAGATTCCTTAACTATGCATAAGAATGAATAGGCAACTTTTTTTATGGTGGCCCAATTAATTATAAATTTGGTATGGTAGTTCAGTAGGCAGAAATACATATTTTGATGCTAAGTTTGGTTCTTTATGTCCCCATGTTTGGAGCTTGGGTGGTGAGGTAGATTCCTTAACTAAAGACTGCATTGGTAAAGAGAGATAACTGCTGAAGATGTTCTCATTGTAAAAAGGAATGCTGGCTATGAGCCCCTTGGGATTAATTAGCTTTCCTCCTGAAGAAAATCCAGAGCATTATGTTTATCTGTCACATTGAGATGAATTTCCACCTCTGTCTGCAAATGAAGTTTGTTTTGAAGTTAAATCAATTTGGAGTGCTATGAACACTGTGAAATGTGGATTTAGATATAAATTTTTATAATTTATTTTTGTTTAATAGTTATGATTTCATTGAATTCTAAAAACAAGAAATAGATGAAAAGAAGATTTTTTATTTACTTTTTTCATTTAATATTAATTAATTTTTAAGGTAGCTTTATAAAAACCCCATTCTATCATTAATACTGAAAAAGTTCTTATTGTAACTTTAGAAGAAAATGATGAGAGAGATACAAATAATCCTTTGGGATCAATTATCTAGCCTGCTGCAGAAATTTAGGAGGCTTTACTTTATCTTTAAGATTAATGAAAACCTTTGTCTGCAACTGCTGTTTGTTTGAAGTCAAGGTCAAGCCTTCATGATATCTGCATTCATTGAAGGCTGGTATTCTATATAACACAAGCTTCATAATTGTTTAATACATTCAATGTTAAGCTGTTCTTTACTGTCCATTAATGTAAATACAAGGATATTATTTTCAGGTTTTTGAATATTCAGGAATCATCTTGAAATTTTAAGAATACAGTTGCTGATTCTTTTTTTTAATCATTCCGTAAGCTGCACCCTTTTAATTCTACGCCATGGCGGGGCCCTTGCTGACTGGTCAGTTTTCTAGTTTGTTATCCAATCAAATGAGGCATAAACTGAAAAAAAAAACTGTTAAGAAATGTTTGAATAATATAAGGAAGGTTAACCATAAAAAAGACAGGCATTGGTGAAGAACTTCCCTCTTCTTTATTTTACAGGAGGAGGACGAGGAATCTTGGAGTGACTCGGATGAGGAAGCTTTTGAAGAGGAAGGAATTTGTGACAAGCGCGGAAAGAGAGGAGGAGTTATAGCGCCCGGTGCAATGGACATGAAGAAGGTATTCTCTACAGTGACTGTCTATCTCTAGGGTATACCAGTATAAAGTAATGTTTTAGATTAACATGGTCATGTAATCCAACTTTTTTGTCCCAATCTGCTAAAGGAAACTCATTGCTGAGTTTTTTACGAAGTCCCATATCATAAAAATTACTTATTGCTGTGTCATACTTTCAAATGGTACAATTTTATTTGTTTGTTGTTTACTGTACCTCCTTAGAATTTTTCATTCAAATGGAGACGCCACAACATGCAGGTGAAGGGTTGGAATTTATAGCTTAACTAGGCACTCAGAGCCATTGGATAGTGAGGGATCGTTTTCAAGACAACATTTACAGCAACATGGGACCTGTGTTCATAGGGTCTCAACCAAATTACATGTCTCCTCTTAATTCCCACAGTGGGATTCCCTAATAATGCCAAAATGAAATCCTCGCTAAAAATTCTACTTATATGGTGGAAGGATATGGAAATAACGAACAGTATTCAATCTCAACGTCCATTAAACAAATATACAAAATAAGAGCAGAGCAAACACGGACCCCCGAAACATCAGAGGTGGGATCAGGTGCCATGGAGGAGTGAGCATCCCCTGCCGACCGGTCACACCCGCCGTGTTTAGCAAAAAATACATTATATAGGAAAGTCGCCCGCATGGCGCAGTGGTTAGAGCGTCTGCTCTAGAGTCTCAAAGTAAGGAGCTGATCCTTATGTCATGGGTTAAAATACCACTGTGGGATGGTCTTTCATATGAGATTCTATAAACCAGTGTCTTGTGTCACAGAAGGTGCTGGCACAATCCCTGCTCATTGGCCTTGATATAGGACAAAATTTGCAGCTGAAACATTTTTGAGAGGGACATTAAAAACGATATACAGCCAAACAAAAATATATATAGAACATTTTATATATGCCAAGGAAAATTAACAAGAGTAATGCCAGTGTGATATTTTATTTATCCAAAGTATCGTCAAGAAAATACATTTTTCAAAAATTTAACTTTTGAAATGGTTTATATTTCTGATAATTAAGTTCTGAAAATTGTTGATCTTTTTCGAAAGTAAAATTTTAATTTACAGAGTAGTGGATACATCAGGGGAAGACAAGAAATGAAAGACAAACCTGTTCCTGCACCAGCACAGCCTGTACATGTACTATCCTTTTCTAAAGAATCTGCGCCTTTTGGAAATCAATTCGAACAACAAAGTGGGATAGGCTTTGGGTCAGTTAGAGCCCCGCCTCCACCATCAGCAAGCAGTTTATTTGGAAATACGCAACGTTTTGGGTCTTCTGTTGCCTTTGGGGCACCCGTACCATCCATTGTAAACTCTGCAAATCAATACGCATTAGATTCTGGAAAAAATGAAACTTCTGGGTTTAGTTTTGGACAACCGTTTGGGGGACCTACACAGCAAATGACTTTAAACAGTACATTTGGAGGTCCAGTCACTCAACCCCCAATGCCCCAACAACAAATGTTTGGAGGTCCAGTCACTCAACCCCCAATGCCCCAACAACAAATGTTTGGAGGTTTCGGATTTGAAATGCAACGTATGGGTGCAGCTCCTTCTGGAGGATTTCAACCACGACCATCGAAAAAAACACACGGAAATGGTGTCCCTCCACCCCCTCCTACATCCAGTAGAGTGATTTTGCGGCCATCAAAACTTGGAGCAAGTTTGGGTCCCCCACCACCCCCTCCACCTGCTATGGCAACACAACCTGCAGGGGCTCCCCCACCACCCCCTATGGCAGCACAATATCCAGGGAAACCACAATCACCCCGTCTAACCCCTATGACACCAACATCTGCAGGGCCACTACCACCACCCCCTATACCCTATATGGCAGCACCATCAGCAGAGAAACCACCACCACCCCCTATGGGAGGACCATATGGAGGGAAACCAGAACACCTCCCTATGGGGGCTCTCCCACCACCCCCACCTGCCCAACAGGTGTCATGGAGAAGTAAGTTTTAAAATGATTTCATATTCATTTTATATTGATCAGGCATAAATATAACATAATCATTGTTGAATTGATTAATGCCATTAAAAATTAATCAATATGATTATTTTATAATTGTTTTTTTTTTTCAAATTTTATCATACTGTCTCCAATAATTATCAATTATTCATATTGATTAAAATGTACATTCAAGAAGTATTCAAACTAGTCACAGATATGAATTATGTCTGAGTTTCTGTTGTTAGATTCTTTGAGCTATTGAAATTCTTGCTGAATTTTTTCAAAAATATTCATAAGGAAAAATTCTTTGAAGTCTATATACTTTTGGTTGACAAGAAAGTTAAGAATTATGAAACGTGCTACATTTTAATTTTTGTAATAACAATATTTCAATAGCTATGGGCATGAAATCAAATTTAGAAAGAGAAAGCAAAGAACAGAAAATGGAAGTGACATTAGATTCTCCACAAGAAAAACTGTGCCGGACCTTTTTAAAAGCTCCGGAGAGAAAAGAACAGGAAAAATTAAAACCAAGATCCTTTAGTTGTAAACTTAAGAAAAAAAAAGCAGACAAAAGAGGATAGCAGCTTACTCAGTGAAGCTGACATGTTACTGGAGGAATCTCCACAAGAAGAGCTGCTGATGAGGCCTGGTGATACGTTTTTCTCCAGAAAGCCTATGGTAATGGTGAGAAATTTTAGTCAATGGATTGTTATATGTAAGATTGTTTTGTTTATGTTTTACAAACATGTCATCATGTCAACATGTGCGCGCCTCATGCATCTTGACACTTTTAATAGGAATATCTCAGTTTTTCAATTTATCTTCGAATTTCTTTTCAGCTTTTAAGTCGTATACTGTGTATCATGTTACTTTTATTCAGTAATTGTCTATTTTTAGGAGGAGTGTCATTCGCTATTGCTGTTGGATGTTACACCACTTTCTATAGGGGTAGAGGATGCAGAGGGAAATTTCTGTGTCATTGTCGCCAGAAACACCACAATTCCTTGTCGGAAAGAACAGGTTTAAATTAATTCTTGAAATATCTACATGAAGAAGTTAAATATCAAGAAAAATATATGCAGAAGAAGTTTACATACATATTAATGCTTTTAAAAAAACTATTTTACAAAATGCTTCAAGTTTTTAGCTCTTCTGAGCCAAAGGCTCAAAGAGCTAATGCTATGGCCATTTGTGCGGTGTGCGGTGTGCGTTAACTTTTTAGAATATGGGCCATAACTCAAGAACCCCTTGGCCAATCAGTACCAAATTTGCCACAGGGTATCCTTGGCCCAAGGGCTACCATTTATACTAAAATAAGGGTTGGGACCCTAAAACAAGGGGAGATAATCAGGAAAACAAAACAAAAAGTACTAGTTGCTAAAAAATCTTCTTCTCCAGAACCGCCAGGCAGATTTTCACCAAACTTACATACAAGGATCAGGATATGTTGAAGATTAAAAATTGTTCAAGGCATGACCCTGGGGCAAAGGGCGTGGCCTCAAGGTCACTTTGAAGTTGACCTAAATTTACAATTAAAAAAAAATATTTATATTTTGTTAACTATAAGGGCTAGGATCATCAAATCTTGTAAGTTGATGCATCTTAGGACTTCACATCATGTTAACTCAAAAGTAGGTCACGGTGACCTACTTTTTAAATTTTGCGGGCATTTGTTTTCAAATTGATTTGAAGGCATATTTTGGACACTTTAAGGCCTATGATCATGAAACTTAGTCAGTTGATGCATCTTGGGTCCTTGAACAACGTCAACCTAAAAGTAGGTCACCATGACCTACTTTTTGAACTTTATGACTTAACCTTTTTAAAACATTAAATCCCATTATTTCAGGCACTGAAAGGGTTAGAATCATCAAATCTTGTAAGTTGCTGCATCTTGGGACCTTAAAACATATTTAAGAAAAAGTAGGTCACTGTGACCTACTTTTAGAATTTTGCAGGCATATGTTTTCAAATTGTTTAAAAGGCATTTTTTGATTACCTTCAGACGTACAATCATCAAACTTGGTCAGGAGATGCATCTTGGGACTCTGAAAAATGTCGACCAAAATGTAGGTCACGGTGACCTACTTTAGACATTTTATGGCTATATTTAAGTATCTTGGGTATTTATTGGCTTAGAATCATCAAACTTTGTGAGTTGATGCATCTTGGGTTTTCGGAGAGTGACGACCAAAAATTAGGTCACGGTGACCTACTTTTGACATTTTATGGCTATATTTAAGTATCTCTGGTACTTATTGGCTTAGAATCATCAAACTTTGTGAGTTGATGCATCTTGGGTTTATGGAGAGTGTCGACCAAAAATTAGGTCACGGTGACCTAATTTCGACATGTTATGGCTATATTTAAGTATGTTGGGTATTTATTGGCTTAGAATCATAAAACTTTGTAAGTTGATGCATCTTGGGTTTTCGGAGAGTGACGACCAAAAATTAGATCATGGTGACCTAATTTCGACATTTTATGGCTATATTTAAGTATGTTGGGTATTTATTGGCTTAGAATCATCAAACTTTATGAGTTGATGCATCTTGGGTTTTCGGAGAGTGACGACCAAAAATTAGGTCACAATGACCTAATTTTGACATTTATGGCTATATTTAAGTATTTCCTTTACAAATTGGCTTAGAATCATCAAACTTTTTCAGTTGATGCATCTCGGGTTTTCGGAGAGTGATGACCAAAAATTAGGTCACGGTGACCTACTTTTGACATTTTATTGCTATATTTAAGTATCTTTGGTATTTATTGGCTTAGAATCATCAAACTTTGTGAGTTTATGCATCTTGGGTTTTCGGAGAGTGACGACCAAAAATTAGGTCACGATGACCTACTTTTGACATTTTATGGCTATATTTAAGTATATCTGGTACTTATTGGTTTAGAATCATCAAACTTTGTCAGTTGATGCATCTTGGGTTTTCGGAGAGTGACGACTTAAAATTAGGTCACAGTGACCTACTTTTGACATTTTATGTCTATATTTAAGTACATGTATCTTAGGTATTTATCGGCTTAGAATCATCAAACTTAGTCAGCAGATGCATCTTTGGACTCTGGAAAATGTACACTAAAATGTAAGTCATGGTGACCTACTGTCAACATTTTATGGCTATATTTAAGTATATCTTGTACTTATTGACTTAGAATCATCAAACTTTGTCATTTGATGCATCTCGGGTTTTCGGAGAATGTCGACCAAAAAATAGTTTACAGTGACCTACTTTCAACTTTTTATGGCTATATTTAAGTATTTTAGGTATTAATGGCTTAGAATAATCAAACTGTGTAAGTTGATGCATTTGGGGTTCTCCAAGAATGTAGACCAAGAAGTAGTTCTTTTGGCTAAGAATCATCAAACTTTGTCAGGTGATGCAACTTTGGACTCAGGATACCTAGGGCTAGAGGCTTCAAATACAAGTGATAGGTTGTACAATTTATCAGAAGAGCGATTCAAGGCCCTTGGGCCTCTTGTAAATCAAATCCATCCTAACTAATTCAAATTTTCAATTTCTGCCAAATATCGTAAACGCTAATTAAAAAATATTACATTTACAGTATCTATCATAATTAAAATAGACGTTTTAAATATGTGTGCTTTTTTTTTCTTTTTTCTTTAGAATTTTACATGTATTGATGAGCAACAAAACAGAGTAGATGTCAGGGTTTATGAAGGGTGCATGAGGGAGGCCGAAAAGAACCATTTCCTGGGACAACTTCAGATTGTAAGTCAAGATATAAGATTGCTTTATAATACATGCATGTAAAAGATGAACCGGTTTATAATTTTAAGCTGATACCTGATGATCACCTGATATTAGTTGCATGTAGAAAGTAATTACAATTTACCAGTGGATTGTAAATTCAATTTTCATTAGCAAAGTATGTCTATATTTTTTTATTAGTTTTGAAGAGAATGTTTTTTTTCCAAATTGAATGTATTTTTCTAACTTTGGATTAAGTAATAGAGGAATATTAAATATCTTTCTAAATAACTTTTTTTTCTAGAAAAATATTTTGCCTTCCTCTCCTGGAAGCCCATGGATACGTGTCACGATAGATATCGACGCCAATGGAATAACAACTGTTAAAGTAACAGACATCAGGTCTCTGCGCTCGGAGTCATGTAAGCATTATATACATACAGTGATCTGACTTCCGTATTAATTGTGTCTCTTTCTGGCGATATTTAACAATGAATTATTTTGAGATAACAAACAGTATTCTAGCTCAAACGTCCATCAAATGGCGCAGAGCAAACACAGACCTCCAAAGCATCAGAGGTGGGATCAGGTGCCATGGAGGAGTGAGCATCCCCTGTCATTGGTCTAGAAAATGTACATATTTGTGGGGCAGGTGAACTTCCAGCTAGTCACAATGAAGCGGAATTGACCATCTTTATCAGATTTTGAGATAATCATGATATTAGCTTTACATAATCGTTTTTCATTACATTTCATGCTTATTGTGTAGCATTGATCATCTTATTACAAGTACTTTAAATGTAAAAAAAAAAATATTAGTATGTGATATGTTCTTGACTTATGATATGTGATAAGGTTGTAATTAGATCTGAATGTACGGACAAAACAGTTGAACAATGTCATCATTTATGTAATTCCCAGATTTTCTCTTTATATCCCTTGTATTTTTCTTAATACAGTGTAGTTTATACATTGTTTTATCATGTATTTAAGACCTCCATTTTATCTAATCATTTTATACTTACAGTTAAGGTAGAAAATGACAAAGGCAGACTGAGTCATGAAGAAATTGACCGCATGGTGAAGGAGGCCGAAAAAGAGAAAACAAGTTCTCCACCAGAGGTTAGTCTATATTTGTGTGTGCTGGGTGGGGGGGATCAGTGAGTTAATGCTAGACATGTCAGGCTTTGCGGCTTTAAGAATGAAAGGAGTTCACATTAGGTTTCAGTGTCTGTTTTACAAAGAAAAAGTTAAACTGAGATCAAATTTGAGCTCATCAAAGGCCACAGTGTCATTTCTTTTGTTACAAGCTTGTTATTAATAAGTACTGTCTGAAATGACTGGGTAACATTTTTTTGTGGTTTTTTAAAACGAATTTTATGTATTTGTAAAAAGGAAACAATATAGATTGTGCATAGTCTTTGATATTCGTAACACTCCACCCTTTTTGACAGAAACTAAGGATGGACGTATTGTAAGACATGCATTCTCATAGAGCCCTATCTTTTATGTTAATTGGTCATCCAAAATTAAAGAAAATATCTAAAAAAAATATTTTTTTTTTCAAAATGAAAATATAGACAGTATAAAATACTGTAAACCAACATTTATTCCCATGCGAAAAATTTTAGAGAGAGCCCTGTAATCATGAATATTTCTTTCTAAAAGTTGTTTACAATATTATTAATTTTTTTTTAGTTTGTGCCACGGACCTCAAAACTACCTGCCTTGCCAGCAGGATATGCAGAAAAAGGTAATTTTGTGCTCTCTTTATCATAAAAGTTAAACACACATTACAATTTTTTTTCTTGAAAATCACATTACCCTACCTGTACAGGTATAAGATGGCTTTTCTTACTGAAGTTTGTCTAGTGCCATTCTGTATTATTTTTTAATGCTCTCGTTTTGTTTGGAAATATATAGTTTAATTCTTTTTAAAAAGAAAAGCAGTTCTCATTATTTTGGTCCCAGTAGTATGATTGTGCTAAAACAGAGGTTCAATTTTTACATTTTATATAAAAAAAAAAATTAGAATATTGTTCAGTACATAGGGTTAAGCGTTAAAAGAGGATGCTGTGTAGTTAAGAGATAGGTTGGTGATATTCAATAATCAGAAAATGAAAAAAAGTGATAATCATGTAAAGAAAACAAACCAATTGCTTCAATTACATGTACAATGGAATACTATAACTGTTTGATTCTGATACATTATTATACACTAAGAATGCCTTTTGTATTCATTGGCAGCTTTTGATGTCAACACTTATGGAATTGGTTCTTCTGTCAGCAGTGTTC